GGTTGTGCGGCTCGTCGTCCGTCTCTCTGCTGCAGTTGTGGGTTGGTCCGTGCGGGTGTGATTGTCGATGATCGGTTCGTGTCTTTTTCGGCTGCTCTCTCAGCTGCCTGGGCGGCCCACATGGCTATCTTGAACTTATGTGCGTCATGAACGGATATTTTGTCCTTAGTTGCCGCCGTGGACGTCTCAATCGCAGCTTGCGTAGCGTGCGCATCTCGAGGCTATGGTGTAAGAGTATGAGGTGCAGGTCGCCCGGCTTGGGGGCTTCACCCCTGCTATCTTTCTTGAGTTCATCCTTGATGATCATGTGTATACCAATCTGTCCTGAGTAGTAATCTGGTCTTGCCATCATGCACTTGGCTAGCGTATTAGCTATTGGGTGTCCTAGGCGCAGTGCCAGCTTGGCGCAGAGTGCGCCGTGAAGGTCGTCCCGGTGCTTTTCTGTCGCCCGGCACTCATGGTATAGGTGGTGTTTGGTGTCTGATGGGCCAGGTGCCTTGCATTAGGGGCAGGTGAGGGCCATCGTCTCGGGTTTCCCGTCAATATCTATCACAGTTGTGGCCATCCCCGGGTGCTTGGTTGCCCACTCGGTGTTGTGGCGATGCGAGCCGAGGTTCAGGGTTGCCATGTGTTTGGTGTACTTTTCAGGGGTTCTTTTTCCCCAGCCGCGTGGGAGGCGCAGTGATGCCGTGCTCTCTTCTTGCCATATGGCTTCGACGTTGTCCATCCGACCTATACCCGGGGCGTATTTAACAGGGCCTCTCTGCTCCAGGCGTTTCCTCGCGACCCTGTCTATTACTGCATATCGTGCAGCTCGTTGGTCCGAGGTGATGAGGGCACCCGTTGCTGGGTCCGCAATAGCCCAGCTGTGGGCTGTGAGCGTGTTTGGTGTGAGTACCACTGTGGCGGGTTCGCTCCGGACTGCTACTGCCTTCGATCCCCAGTCGCTTGGTGCGTCCTGTACGACTTTGATGACAGCCGCCGGCTGCCGGTGGGGGAGCCATTCGGTCTGTCCTCTTAGGGCTGGGTGGGGTATGAAGAGAATTGTAACTTTCTATTTGAGCGCTTCTGCTGTCACCACTCTGGCTCCTGAGGGCCGACGTTTATTCGTATCGCTCCCTGGGACGCGAGGATCCTGGCCACGTCGTCATCGGATTTGGTGTGTGCCTTGGTGTATGATGTCTCTCTGAGGCGCCTCATTGCCTCGTCTCGCTGTTTGTGGGCAGGTAGTCGGTAAAAATGTGGGTTTGCGTCGTATCTCGTGGGCTCCCATAGTCCGTGTGGCGGGGGGTTGGGGTCGGGGTGTCTTCTGTGCCATGCTAGGCGCTTTACACCAGTGTCGTGGTCCCATCCTACAGGGGATCGCGGGCAATAAGAATGGCGCATTTTGAGCTTAAGGCTGAGCTTCTTAGCAAATTACATACAAACAAAGCTTAAATTTGATTAAATTACATAAAAACACTGCAAAAAAACGAGGCTCAGCTTCTTAACGCTACGGCTTCTTATTGCCCGCGACCGGGCTGGAATTTCTCTTTTTT